AAAATAATAACCAATATAAAACTATGTATATATTTTTTGTAATTCACATAATTTCAAATCAATGTAAAAAAAAAATCTTATGAATGGATCTCACGGAGGTACGCTTTGCGAAAAATTGAGTGAAGATATTATACACTAAATTAACATTTATTTTGAAGAAAACAGTTGATTCTATAAAGTAGACCTAAATATTTGATTAAAATTTGAAAAAATAATGCCAAATGGATGTTCTGTAGATAGATTCGGGTATTTCGTCAATTTTTTTAAGCATAATTTTTGCTCAATAATAAAAAAATTTTAGAAAATATTCATTATTTTAGGTCTACTATGTAGATATATGCATAAACAAATCCTGTACCAAAATTTGCAGTTCTNAACACAGTTTTATATATTTTCATTTAAAATAAATTTTTAAGCATCATAACATTGAACAGTTTTAAACCACAGTTCATTGGCCTGAAACTAATAGAGAAGTAGAGAGACTGGGATAAACAATAAGTTTAAAGTAATGATAATTTATGAAAATTCTTTCAAAATACAGTGGCCCAAACTATTAAAAGAAGTTGTAAAGGAATACGATTTAACTTCTCAGTTCCGAAATTTCTTACGGGATATTTATTAAAAGACGTATGAAAATCCTTTAAAAGAGGATATTTCTTCTTCGATCGAAGAAGCTAGAAATGCAGCAGTAGAAAGGACAAAACAAGTTTATTACGATTCTAGGTTTGTGGATATAAACTTTTCAGCAGGTGACACCAGGGGTAGGAAGGTTGCTGTGACCTGCTAAACTGTTCGGCAAATTTTACTTGCACATGTTTACGAACATTTATTTTCTCTTAGTTGATTCTGAGAACACAATTGGAATCATGAACGTCTTATTTTGTTTAAATTTCCATTTATAAGGCCTTTAATTCTGCTACCATGAATTACTGTCTAGGAAGCTGGATGGACTTCAAGCAACAACTGGGGATCGAATCCCAGTTTTCACAACAGTTCACTGCCTTGCCCAATGACGCAGTTCATTAAATAGAATAATTAAGTATTTAAATCAATAGTATATGAGTGGAAAAAGTAAATTAGCATAGTGTTAAAATATTTGCTACAACATAAATTTTTTATTAAAGCTAATAAAATACAAACTTATTAATGATTTGGCTAAATTCGAAATTTCATTTGGCAAAATAGAAATTTCTCCCATCCCCTGGGTGACCCTGTCATGTACGAAGAATTTAAATACCCTATTACTAGAAAGCGCGCACAAACTTTTAGTGGCCCTTATAACGTTATTCGAAAGATGTCTGATGTAAACTAGGAAATAGATAAAAGTAATAGCCATACCCATATTAAACAGAAACTGTACATGACTCAAAGATTAGAAAATATTGTACAGCAGGACAATTAAAGCTAAGCCATGAACATGTTGAGTTTTATAAAGTAAAATAAAAGAAAGAGAAAAATAACAAAAGCTAAGAAAATTAAGGAAAAAAGAAAAGGAAAGATGAGAAAATGTTACATACACAGTTCTTATGAATCCCTTTTTGGTGACAGATCCACCCTCTTGACATTTTAGAATTATAAAGTGTTCACTAATTTATAAATTAATATAAGGCAATAATTTATATATTAAAAATATGTATTAATACTAATTTATATATTAATATAGGCAATATAAGGCAATGGTTGTTGTGTGTTTGTGGTTAAACCATAAACTAATGAAAGAAAAAAACTTGTTTGAATAAAATAAATAGAATCTTTTGTAAAAATATTGGAGATGCAGTCCTGTTTTTCTCTTCCTGGGGAATCAGTGTCCAGTAAAAAGTTTTTCAATATACTAAAATTTTAAATTCTAGAGTCACGATACAGATGCGTCTATTATTAATTTTCATACAATTTTCACATAAAACTTTATGTGTAAGGAATTTCTATAAATGTGTTTTTGCTTTTGCTTTTGAAATGTTTATTATTATCAAATTTATGAACTGTGCAATTAAGGATAGTATTGATCAAATAAAAGCGAACTTTCAATGAACTTTACTGAAAACGTTTTGGACGTCTAACTCTTTATTTTAGCATAATACAGATTAATACTTTTTAGGTCAACCTCATGTAAAACATATTAATTTAAAGACAGATTGTTTTATACTTTAACATAATAGGACTGATTGCTTCCGTTTGCGTCAATTTTTCTTTGAATTTATTTGTAAATTAATTTTGTTTTAAGTGTTCCGTTTGAAAATTTATATGCATTTTGTAATGGATATCACAAAAAATTCTGGGGAAAGGCATTGCAAGAATTGTTCTTATGTTCTGAATTTAATCCAAACAAAAGGCAAATTTTTTATCCTCCTGAGATGGGGAATGTAATATTGATTGATTGATTTGTTCATTTACGTCGCACCAGAGCTGCACAATGGGCTATTGGCGACGGTCTAGAAAACATCCCTGAGGATGATCCGAAGACATGACAACACAATTTTGATCCTCTGCAAAGGGGATGCACCCCCGCTTCGGTAGCCCGACGACCTGCACGCGAAGTCGAGCACTTTATGGTAGAACAGTTTAACGAGGACCCATACCGCACACCCTCGATCCCTAAGTAGACTGATCCAAGTGGTCACCCACCCGCACACTGACCGCAGTCAGTGATGTTTGACTTCGGTGATCTGCTGGGAACCGTGTCTTAACGATCAGTCCACTTTTTCTTTCTTTCCTCCAAGCCCTGAGCATGTACCTAGGTTATGAAAACCCTTAACCAAATAGCACAGGNAAGATAATCGCATGGGCGAATGAAATGAAGTGTTATAAGTTAAAAATGGAAAAGTGTTAGTAAAAATAATTGAAATCAAAAGTGGGACGGGAATGTAGTATAAAATTTCTGATACGAATCTTTCACGAATACGCTGATCATCCTCAGGGATGTTACCCAGACAGTCGCCAATAGGTCATTGTGCAACTCTAGTGTGACGTAAATGAACTACAACAACAACGAATCTTTCAATATTAATATATTGCTAAAAATAGATTCTCTTGTGAATTTCGAAACGTAGAAATCGTTTTTTCCCAAAGAGCCGTAAAAATTCAATACTAATTAAAATATTATTTTCTGAAGGTTATAGGCAATAAATATTTGGGAATATTGTCATTAAGGAAATGGCGAAAATTCCCCATAGCTTCCATGGCGTCATCTACTTAAACTAATCAAGATGGTTAAATTTTCCCTTTTGGATGACGTTTGATTACGTTAGGGATTTTCTTAATAGCTGCATTCCCTTTTCAGAATCCTTGAATTAAAAACGGGATATACTAATTCTAATAATAATGTCTATAGGGGATGGACTAAATAATAGAAACACTTCTATACTAATGCATTTTTTTCCATATATCCCAAGAAATACTCAAAGAATCACTCTATAACTGCAGAAAGTGCATCATGCGATTTCTCCTACAGATCAATGAAGTTAAAAAGCTTTTAGATGTTTGAGAGGGAAATAGTGCTTCTGAACACTCTATGCATAAAAAATGAATTTGTTATTTGTAGCAATTATTTCGATTTTTAAATGCAGTTATTGCACAAAATGTTGTATGCCTAGTTTAAATACTAATGGAGATATAGACATTTTAATAAAAACAAAAAAATTTTTTGTCTTTGGTCTTTTGGCTACAATTTAAAAAATATTCAATAAAATGAAACGAAATTCTTAGAGCAGTTAAAAATTAATAACAAAATTTTAGCTTCAAAATTAAAAAAAAAAATTTGAAAAATGTGCAATATATAAGTAATTAAAATAGTTTCTTAATACTGCACATGAGTTGAAAAATGTCATAATTTTATTTCGTAATTTTGTAGCAAATCATATTTGATACTATTGAAAAAAGTCCGATTTGAATACACTCAAAAATTACCTCACCAAGAAGGAGTCGTCAAAATGAAACGAAATTTTACATACGTAATGACTACTTTGATATAAGTAAATGATTAGAAAATCAAAGAAAAACGATAATCTTTGATTTTCTAATCATTTACTTATACCAAAATAGTCAATACGTTTCATTTTGACGACTCCTTCTTGGTGAGGTAATTTTTTTGTCCATGAGTGTATATTAAAAATTTAAAAAGTTTTGACCACTTTTCTTAGTATTTTGTCTACTTTTTAAAAGAAAGCAATGGGTTTTGTACAAACAATATTTTGAATCGTAAGACAAAATTAATTAACAAATAATATTTACAGTGAACGTTTGTACACTGAAATATGATTATATAAGGAAAGAAAACCTACGAGATGATCCCCAACAATGCTGCCGGTATCATTTTTAATAAATCTTGTTTAATAGTACAAAATAAAGTTTGCTGAAAACCATTTATCATTTTCAGTCTTCTTTGAAAAAACATATGAAAACTATTTAGAAAATTGCTTGAAACTTTTTAAATGTTTGAGAAATTGGAATCTGACTTTTTTAAGAGTTGCCCAATACGATTCATTACACAATTAAGAAAAAAATTAATTTTTCAAGCGCAAATGCAGTATAAAAGATTTATTTTAATTAATTATATATTGAGCAGTTTTAAGAAACTTTTTCTCAACATTTAAAGTAATAATTTTGTTATTAATTTTAAATTCATGCAGAAGTTTTATTTCATTATATGGGGTGCTCAAAATCACTGTTTTTCGTTTCTAATTTATTGTCGGTCCCTCAAATCTCTAAAAGCTTTTAAATTGATTTATTTAGAATTATTTAGGAGAATTATTTAGTTGAGGCGAAATAAGGAATTAAAAAAAGAATAAGAAAAGATCAGAAGACAAATAAACGAATTAATTATTGATTCTAGGAAAGAAAGAATGAACTATTCATTGAACATAAGGAGGAAATAATCTAGCAAATTATTTTATCTATCGAAAAATCGTTATTGTTCAAAAAACCACGTTCATATCTTATATGACAAAATATCGTGCGAGTTTAGAAATTTCATACTTTGAATAGTAATATAATGCTGGACTTACTTGTTGTGTCAATTCCTTTCTCTGCCGGACAGGGCAGCCGGACAAGAGAATTGGAGGGAGTAGATGGCCAGCACAGGAATCCGTCCCATACTGCCTGACAACCACCACTTGTGTCTATAACATCCAATTAATATTGAATTAGGATTTACACTATAGAATGAATGTGAATAAAGCGAGATAACGTGAAGTACAAGTATTGTCATGTAACACAGACATCACGTTTGTTATTACATTGGATAGATATTACATTATTTATTTCAATAGACACTATATTAGTCATTACCTGAGTCGTTACATTAGACACACACTAGTTTTGTTTCTATAATGAAGATGTCAAAAAAAATATCCTTAACATGTTACAGCAATGAAAATATTGGTTTAGGCCAATTGTTCCTTACTGCAACTTGTTTGTAATTTTCTTTCTGTGCGTTTGTGCCTTTTTCTCTCCTCTCATTATTAAAGGAGATACTAGAAAATACAGTCGATCCCCGCTATAGTGAACCTGGGATATAGTGAACACTCGGATGTAGTGAACTTTTTTAGCGGTCCCGTCCGTATTCCTATTTAAATAATGTTATTTTTAACGCTTATAGTGAACAGCTTAGAACTTGGAAACTCGGTTATAGTGGACTCAAATTTCATTTCTTTAAATATCTTTTTCAGTCCTCCATCTTTAAACTTGTAGGTGTTGGGACTGAAAATGAATGCATTCCTATAAAATGTGTCATATTACTCTCCTTTATGCTTATCACTTTTAACTATACTGTAATAAATGTCAAACAGATCATTTATCTTATACTCCCCCCTCCCTGACAAGCCTCGCTTT